ATGTGCCAGGAAAAAAAGCTGCAGGTTATCATAAACTTACAACAGTGCTTTGAGAAATAAAAGAGGTTGGGACATTTCAGTCACTGGTTTAGCTGACAATGGAAATGCTACTGACTCAGATTTAACTACATACTGTTATCTTTGGGCAGAGCCAGGTTCAACACAGAGTGGTTAAGCTACATCACAGGAGGCTCCTTTTATATGTTATCCTGGTGTACTCTTGCAACACACATTAAACACTTTTCTTCTTCACCTACAGACTAGCACTGCATACTAACTGCTGCTGTTTGGTTATGTCAGGGTAGCACTGACAGCCCACAGCTTATATAGGCACTCATGGTAACATGAAGGTACTTCTGTTCGTAAAAGTATTTCCTGTACCACTATGCACAGACAGTACCTGCTGGATGATAACTCTTATATACACAGCAGCTTCTTCTGCAGGTTACTTGTTGGTTCTTCCTTTTTATCACATGTATTTAATGATTGGTTTGGGTTTTTTTTGTTAGAGATGTCTGAAAAAAAATCCACATAAAGTGCATATGGACTTTATTTGCAATCATTTTGCTGAAACAGACAAACTTACAGTGAACAGATGTTTTTTAGAACTCACAAAAATAGGAGACAAATAATGCCAATGACTCAGTCCCTACACATGGAGTGTGAGACACATGAAGTTGGTGATGCCTTATTTCATAAAGCTGTCCCAGACATTCTCTGGTTTGCTGAGGATCTATGCCTTTTGCTTTCCCCTTCATCGTGTTAAAGGCAGAGGGAAGCCTGTCTAGGATGCACCAGAACATGAAGTAGATGCTACTGAGTGGTGAAGGCTGTCTCCAACTTGACTGTAGGAGGCTTTTGCTAATGCTTTTTGCCTCCAGTTAGTTATTGTCACTACAGTACAATTCCAATGTGTGTTTAAGCCGGGTAGTTCCTCAGCTGGCTACCTGCAGCATCCATCATCATGCCATTCTGGAGCAATCTGCATGGAGTAATTACTTAAATGCATGTCAAAATCTTAAAATTTCATGAAAGCCAGCACTGCTTTCAATGACTAGAACAGTGCTCTCCATATTCCAAAGTTACTTTGCAAAGTACATAAGTGCACCTGACCCAGACATAAAGGTCAATATATCCTTCAAAAGTACTGGTTTATATGGCGAAAAAACTACCAGCAATAATCTCATTGCAGGTCCCTAGCCAGTCCCTCCTCAGTTAAAATGGCTATGTAAAGTCAAAGATTTCAAAGGTATGACCAGGTGAGTGGCAAGTGAGTGAGAAACATGGTCAATGTTGTGTGTGCACCCCTGAAGCAGGAGATCCTGAATTACTTTCTTTGCGTCTCTTGGCCCAAGTTATGAAAGGACTGGGGCACAGCAGAAAATCAGGAGGAATGTTTGAGAAAATGCCTCACTGCCAAAATTTTAAATATTTGAGATGTTTAGTTTCTCAGAAAGGAAATCCAAAAAAGTGATTAAAAAATGATCTTTTAAAGACTTCACATAAAGAAAATTTCTGGTAGTCTAAAGCGCTCTGTTTTAGCATATGACCCCTCTACAAAAAAACAAAAAGCCAAAGACCTACCTCAAAACAAGAAACAATTCTTGAAAACTGAAGTCAGGCAGACCAAAATGAGACATAAGGCCACTTGCTTTACCACAGAAGGCAGTCAACCACGGGGACACCCCACCAGCTGAACTGAGGTATCCTCCATTGCCTGAACTTTTGAATCATCCTGCACATTATTTGGATAATGCTGACCAACCCAAGTTACTTGGCTTAAAAGGGAGTATCTGGATTCTGTTAGCCAGACAGCTGAATGGTTTCTTCTGGAGAGATTTATCTTGCCTAATTTTAGATGTAGCATGAGAAATCTAAGTACTAGCAAGCTACCCAGTGCTCATCTTATAGTAAATATAGAGAAAACAATGATTCAGCTTATCCACCTTCAGTGCTGAGCTGAACATGAACGGGATCAATCATCTTCAAATAGTGCCTGTTTCTCTATGATGATTATAGAAAGCACTTAAAAAGAGTCTTTAGCTCAGAAACACCTAGTTTTTACACACCAAAACCACGGCAGACAAATTTCACCTGAGTTTATTGAGGACCTAGTTGAAGTTGACTCTGCAGAGGAAAAGATAACTCTTGCTATAGACTTAGATTTTGATCATGGTTAGCCATGGGAGAGTAATCTGTCACTGTGTCCCTCCAGCATCAGCAGCAGAAAAATCCCTCTGAATAAGTGGTGCAACCCTGGCAGCTCCAAGGGAAGCAAAGTACAATTAATTACAATATGAGGGTGAACTGTATTAACATTCTTGTTTAGAAAGATGTGCTATGTGGCTTCTCAAGTGGGGACAAAACCCACAGGTTTCCTGCTCTGAAAACTTTGCAACTCAGTTTGGAGCCTGATGCCAGCAGAGGGCTAAAGGCAGTAAAGGGACACAGAAAGGGAGGAGCACTGTGGGACAGGGCCGTGCTGGAAAGCATACGCTTGTCTTGCTGCCTCTGCCTCCTCCTCCCCTGCTGCCTCCAGGACTGGGCAAGAACTATGTTTAGCCACGTCAGAAGGCCAAATGGTTTCTTGCACTGTCCTTTTGACTCTTAAGAGGTACCACAGCTCAGAGCAGGAGCATTTAACTCCACAGCCCTGTGCAAAGTGCAATGAAAGACAAAATCACGAGAAGCCATCTCGTTTCTGGGTGTCATAAAGATGAAAAATATCAATCAACTACTAGATTTGTCCAACTGTTTTGCAGCTTTTCCATACATTTTAATATGATGTATATCTGTGTGTGAAAAGGCAGCTGAAAGTCAAATAGGTGATAATGGGGCTGATGCTGTAACTTTGCATAAAATTATCTGGAAATCAGAATTTTTTTGGGAGTAAAAACCAAGTGAGCAGAGGAAAATATGCTGTTTCCTTTAACAATGAATTTCCTTATTTAAGCTTTTCTGGTTTAGAATCCTGAAATCATTAAAATGTAGATTTTTATCCATGTTCATAATTAGAACAAAGATAGTTTTCTTTAGGATACAATTAATGATAAACATATATAATTAGTGATGCGTCATGCAGAATAGACTGATGGAACAGACTGACTGAAACCTTGATTTCTATACCATCATTCTATCTGTGTCAATTCACTCCATGAACCTCCTTTGAACATAAAGATGAGTATGTTTGAGTGCTTGTCAAATGTGCCTTTCTACCCTAGAAAATTTGGGAAAAAAGTACATCCTGCACGCTACAGCTCAGAAGCTGTGCAGTACCAATGCCACTTCTGACAAAGAAGCCTGAAGTGCACAAATATTTTTAATTCAGGTACAGGAGCAGCCAACCAAGTTCCTATGTATCTTCATATCTTTGCAATTAAGAGTTTGTTAATAAGGTTGTTCAGAGATCCAGGAAAAATACTAAAGTTTAGCAGTGCTTTCTGAGTCTAAAGCCTTTGGGATTACATTTAATTTAAATACATGGGTAGAGGGCATATCTCCAGACACCATGAGACTTGTTGAGCAGCCTACTCCAGAATCTCATAGTTACTTCATCAAGTGACAGCAGAAAACACTCTGGATGGCTGGAGGTGATCTATAGTTTTCTTTAAAGTCAGACTTGGCCAAGTAACAATTCATCAGCTGATTATTGTTTAACTTGAATGATACCTACTGTGCAAAGGCCGGTGTCATAACATGGACAGTTACTCGTTCTGCAGTACTCACGGACCATGGGGCCTCTTCTATCTTTGATCTGACATAACTTTGTATCACTCTGGAGACATTCCTTTAAAATAAATTGTGCCTGACTGATAAATAGCTAAATTAAATCAGACCAAGAGGTGTATGGACACTTTGACAGCTGCCAGCAATATTCCCAGTACTGGTAATATTTTCAAGAGTGTACATGTATGCCTGCCAAGACATGTCCTCACTGCTCTTCTCCCTTTTCCCTGGAAATATCGTGGACCTTGGATTCTGCTAGTTCCACACAATCTGTTATCTAAAATTATCAGGGCAATTGCTTTCATGGTTCAGAGGTACTCATGAAAATATATATTACTCCCACTTGCTACTTAGAGTGGACATGGCTAAGCATGACATGAGAAGTAAACATCACTCAGTTTATTTCTTTTAAAGAGTGCAAATGTTCTGTGTATGTTTAGAAGAATCTGTCAGTTCTATGTCTTTTTTTACATAGTGGCTACATATGAGGCTTGGTGTTGTTGAGAATTCATTCTATTTATGCCTTTTATGGTAATTTTTAGGGATTCTAATTCTTTTTGCTGGAGTCATGGTCAGGACTAAATTTTAAATCAGCTCAGATAGATACAGCATAGAATTAAGCTAAAAGAATTTACATTATTCCTTAAATGGGAGTTGTAACTTTATTGCAATACTCCATGTTTTATCTGCCAAGTATATAGTACTAGAGATATATTTCAGTGAAAATATTATATAAAAATGGTATTTTTAAAGGGTAATATGCTATCCAAGGCTGTTTATCCTATGTCAGACTGCTCTAACATAAAGCACCTCTTCAGAAAATTGTTTAATAAAAGATCAACACAAATCTCTTCGACTTTAAACAGAGGATAACAACTGGTGATTGCAACAGCACTATTGGAAAATGCTGACATTTAAATCAAAACTACTGCAATAACCTTTTCTGTATAGACTGCACATGTAGCCCTGCTTTCTGCACATAAACACAAAACCAGGTACTTTTGAAAGGAACAACAGGATTGGAATAAAATTCACCAGAGAGTAATCTCTGAAATTTATACCATTAGCCAAGAAATACTACTTTTTTTCCCTCTGTATAAATAATGTTAATGATATCCTGGATTAGCACACTAAACTCCCAGTGTGGTTAATTACAGTCTTACATTTCTTTATTTTTATCTTGTTTTCCATAATTAGGAAAGACTTTCCTCACACTTAAGGAAAGAAAAGTTTCCTTAAGTGTGAGCGAAGTGTAGGGA